TTATTGTGTAACTAAGATAAAATTTTTTTAAAAAAAATTAATTTAACTTAAAAGGTTTGGAGTGGTTTGGTTAGAAGATTGATGAATTTTTAATATCATTAAATATATAAAATAACGTAAAAAAATTTAATATTAAATAAAAATATAATTATAAAACACTTTAATATTTAAATTAATTAATAAAATTATAATTAAAAATATATAAATTATAAATAAATTTTTATACCCCTATATGATAGTAAAGATTAAAAAGATTTATAAATTCTTATTGGCTTATTCAACAGGGACACCAAAAATAATAAATGATAATTTTAAATTTTAAATATAATATAGGTAAGTTTTAAAGGTTAAAACTTGTTTTTTTGGTAATACACAAATAACTCATTCGTATCTTCTAAATCTTGTTAAAAATAAATAAATTTTAAAATAAACATAGTTAGTATTGATTAAAAGCATTCATAATTAAAATTTAAAATTCCTAAACGAAATATCTAAAAATAACAAAATATCAAAACTAGTTCTATTATAAAGTTTTAAAATTTTTAGAATTATGTTTCTTTAAAGTTTAGGTAGTAGAATTAGAATACCATTTTAAAAACAAATTAAAATTTTAAGTTTCTAAAGGTAGAGTTGCAAATCAACTTTAAAGACTAGAGTTGCAAGTAAATTACTAATTTAAAATTAGAATTAGAGTGCATGATCAAAAATAAAAAATATGATGATGCTCTACTTTTATTTTTTATTTAAATTAATGAAATTATTATTTTGTGAAACAAGAAAAAGAAAACTTTAAATATTAAAAAAATATATTATATTATTTAACTTAATTATTGTATAGTAACAACATATTAATCTAAATAAAAAAAAATTATTCCTCTTATTAGTCAAGGTTTATTGTTGTTTTCAAATGCTGAAAGCTAACACAAAAATATTAAGTTATTTTATAATTAAATTTTATTTTATAATAGGATAATTTTTAAACGACTTAAATATAAAATTATAAAAAATACCAATTATATTAGTTTTAAATTTTATAATTTAAATTAACACAATTTTATACCGGTTAGTTTAATTTTTAATTGGATTTGATCAGTTAGATCAAATCTTAGATAAAATATGAACACTTCTGCCTAAAATCAATCAACCTACTCTCTTTCATCGCCGGTACAAAGCAAGCCGCCTCCCTGATCCGAAGACGAAGAGAACCTGTTCTCCTGGAATCGGCAAGCGCTCCGCCACTTAACAATTGCGTTTCTTTCTTATCTTTCACTGTTGAGTTTGAGCCCTTAACAGTTTCAATTCCTTGGTTGCCAAAAAACCGTGGAAATCGTTTTTTGACTTTTTCGAAAGTTATGTGTTTAGCAAGGCTATCCATATTCTATTCAAACTAATTGATCCAATTAAAATTATCTAATTTGATTAAAATTTAATCCAAATTACAACAATTTGAATTGATTTATATTATAAAATTTTAAAATTAATATAATTAATTTAGTTTATAATTTTACATTCAAACTAATCAACTTGTTCAATTAGAAAATAATTTAAT